GGGGGGGGGGGGGGGGGGGGGGGGGGGAGGGGAGGATGTCAAAATGCTCTTGATTCCGTTTGATGCTTAAGATACCATACCCCCGGGACCAAGTTTATTGAAGGTTATTGAAGGTTATTGAAGGTCGACAGCGCCGCAGCAAAAACGGTGACGGTGCTGATAGTGGTGGTGGGGTTGAATGTTGAAAGTGTTTCTCGCCGAAGGCTTTTTCAGAACGCATTATTTGTGTTGGGCGTGGTCTACGTCGGTAAGCAACCGAACTGTCCTCGTCCCTATCGTGCCCATCTCTCTGTCTGTCTGCCTGTCTCTCTCTCTCTCTTTCTCTCTCTTTCGCTCTCTCTCTCTCTCGCTCTCCCTCTCCTTCTCCCTTTCCCTCTCACGCCTTCTCTCTCTATTTCACGCTAAGTTGATTCCTATGCTACCGTGGGCCTCCATTTGTTCTGTCGTTTCTTCCCCCTTGTGTGTTTATCTCCTCTTCTACATATTGATAGGTGCCGGCACGAAGCGAGGAGCCGACGCGGCACGCCATCACCGACCTGTCCGTGGTGAGATAGACAATGACATGTTAACCCAACCCTATCTCCACCCCTGTCTCCAGCCCGAAAGCCTCAAGTCTTCGTGCTAGCCCCTCACTGCACGCCATTTCCAACCTATCCGTGATGAGAGAAAATATGGCATGATAACCTCCTTATTTCTAACGCTAAAGCGTAAGGCTTTTGTGCTAGGCCCTAACGGCGCGTCGTGACGGACGTGCCTGTCGTGAGAAGACGATGACATGTTGTCCCAACCCTACCTCTAGCCCTAAAAAGATCCTCAAGTCTTCGTGCTAGCCCCTATCGGCATGCCATCGCCGACTTGTCCGTAGTGAGACAAACAATGGCATGTAGCGCTAAATTGCTCGTGTCACTATCTTGTAGACCCGCAAGTGCCACGCAAATACCGAGCTGTCAGTGGTGAGGTGGAATGACGAGATGAAGCCAAGGTCTTAACGATATCTGATCCTGTCGGACAAGTCAATCGTCCTTGTTGTGTGGGGAATGGCACAGGGTGCTGTAGGGTATGGAAAAGCCGCCTCGGCTGAGGGCAAAAGATCATGGCATCTTGTGGTTCACAAATAACTTTGCCGCCCTGCACTTAGGTGCACATTTCTCGGGGTAGGGGTGGTTGTTCCGGATTTCAAAAATCACCGTAAAAAGCCGTCTCCAGGCGCAGAAATCTAAGTTCGTTTTTTTTTGTGCTCGTTGACTTTTATTTCAGTATAACCAGAAAAAATTGTTCGCAATCTGCTGGAGGGTTCACTTTTCAGAGGACAAATCTGAGACCAGATTTCATCAGCTCGTGGAATTTGCCAGGTGTTGCTTCTTTCAAAAAATACAAAAATGTCAAGAAACGACGAAGTTATGGCCCATAAACCGATTCTGGAATGACGTTTTGTTCGCAATATCCTCCGAGAATCAACTACACGATTTTAAAATAGTGCGGCAGATGATTCCTCTCGAAATTCCGCAGGTGTCGCTTTTTCCAGATTTTTCCTGAAAAGATCTTTCATGAGACATTCGGTGATGTGCGTGCCGCTGTGAGATACGAACAGCTCTCGCACACACACGCACACCAGACATTCACCACTGAACAAAGCAGCGCACAAGTGGCCACACGGTCACATGCAAGCCCCACACATGCCGCGACGCAAGAAACGAAGAATAGTTATGGCACGGAACGCGGATGGAACCATCGCGCCACGTGGTCAGGCAACAGCACCCCCAGCACAACTGGCCGGTTTTGGCCATGAGTGTGACGTTTATCCCATGGATGTTGTCGAGGTATCGAGGATGGCAATGCCCGTCACGAATGCAATAGGGTACATTTGTGGTGTTTGATACGCATATCATAGGCATACGAGTATCCATAAAGCATACGCATATCATATGCATACGAGTATTCATAAAGCAGTTGCGATTGGTGCAGAGCTTGAGAGCTTTGGGAGTTTCCGTGGTATGATTAGGAGGGTCCCGTGGTATGACTAGGGGGGTCCGTGGTATGATTAGGGGGTTCCGTGGACTATTTTGGCCAAAATTGTTGGATTTCTCAAAACTCAAAAAATTCTGCAGCTATCGACGTAGCTCGACGAGGCGATCACGAATATCGTTGTTTCATGTTCCATTTTTTTTTTTCAAGAGTTTTCGCACAAAACATAAGTGGACAAATTGTCCCGGACGGACCATACCAGTCGTGACTTGTTTCTAACCCTAACCTTTAAGTTATGGTAGCGATGGGGATACCACCTTCTCCCTGTTTTACTGGCACCGAAACTACATATCTGAGGAGGTTCTGGCGGACGCTCCTTATTTGAGTCGTTGCCAACCCGAACAATCCTAATTCTAACCTTCGAAAGCAAAGAACCGCACGAGGGGTAAGTAAGGGGCCTCAGGGAGAGGAACACTTCTGTGTGACCAGGGCTTGGAGTAAAACGGCAGAAATGCTGTGAGGGCTGGTTTGACGTGAATGTGAACAAAAAAAAAGCTGAACCACCCCTCACCGTAACCGTAATCGTAACCGATTGTGTTGTTTCCATCCCAGGTCGTTGAAGCCACGAAGACACCGAGCGCGCCGCTTTCCGCAGGGTGAGTGGAGAGAGAAAGAGAGAGAGAGACAGCGGCGGTTTTGGTGTCCAATCGAAACGGCAGGAACCTCGCCGCATGTTGCTGATATGTCCGCCGAAAGTCTTCGAGAATACTAGAGAATGAGGTCCACAGTGAACGGGTAGATATAGGTACCGTAAGCCTTAAACCTCGACTTTGTTCCTTCTTTTGTTCCTCTTCCTTCTTTTCCTTTTCAATCTTTGCCGAATCTCGCCGCATGTTGCTGATATGTCCTTGGAAAGTTGTAGAGAATGAGGTCCACAGTGAACGGGTACATGTACATAGATATCGTTAACAGTAAGCCTCGATTTTTTCCCTTCTTTTGATCATGCTGACCGTCGTCTTCCTCGGCGAAGATTGCTGTGCGTCAAACAACCAAGCCCTGGAAAAAATCCGGACAGCACACACGCTCAATTTTTTGTCTACACCCTCGTGTCCCCTCTCCCTCTCCTCATGGCAGGCGGATGGATGCCTTTCAGTTGGCGTTGGGAGCGCTCTTCCGCCAAAGCGCTACGGACACGTGAGTTTTGCGAGCGAGCCGCGCGCGGCACGCTTGGTGAAAAAAGCCGACAGGCTTCTGCAAATGCGACGTGTCTCTCGTTCTTGCTTAATACCCTCAGAACGCCAAGCGTCCATCATTGTAGCACCTGCCGTATTGCTCGGTTCTGTGCACGTGGTGAGCCTCTGTTGTTCTTGTCATTGACAAAGGAACATCCCCCTACCCCTGCCGCTTAAGCCTTGACACTGATGACAATACGCACCCTATCGCCCCCCCCCCCGGCCCCCCCCCCCCCCCATTCCCTGTTCCTGTGGCATCCAGCGAGTACGAGTGGATGACTAGTGATTTTTAGGAAAGGGGTACGGTTCTCGTGAGGGCGTGTGAGGGTTGTTCGGCGGTAAGCAGTTTCCACAACATGTTATCGTGGCGAGTGGTAATGTTCTTTGTCTGCAGTACTATCTCGCAGAGGCGTTCTCCTGATTCCCCGATCGACTGTTCGCGCCAGTCATCTGTGTTAGTCAGCTGCCTCACNGGCGGTAATCATAATGGTTGTCGAGTAGATCATGTTGTGCGGGGTGGAGAACCCTCACTCCGCGCAAGGGGGATGATCGCACCACGTTGTGTTAAATTGGTCAAGCACCCTCGAGGCAGTTAGACAGTGCTTACAACTGTCTCTGGAATTGATAGCACCAGAAAATGAATTAAGTCATACGCAGCTGTCATCCGCACGCAAGGAAGTAAGCAAAAGATGCCGAACACCCTTAGCAGGATGCAGCGCACCCTTCATGCGACTCGCCGAATACCTCACGGCGCTTCGCCCTTGGTGATGTGAGAGCCTGGTCCGGTGAGAACCCGGCGTGCTCCGTCCCGGCTTTGCTGGGATGCGAGGTCAATGGTCTAACGACTACGGCATGCACGACGATGAGTACCCCCCCCCGCTGGCCTATTTTGTAACAGGATATCTTTGGCGAAAGTGCACGCCGACATCAACGCTCAGGTTGTCCATGGCACGTCACCCTTCAACGACAACGAGGTGACTCTCAGCCTCAAGTATCTCGAGGACGTGGAGTCAAAGGTCATGCTTGACAGCGGCATGCTTTACCGCATCTGATCGGCGTGCCGCCTCGACCGCTACCCCAAGGGCGTGAGGTGCCTAAGGTGGTGCTCGGCGACGGCATGCTCGGTCAGGAGGCTCGCGGCATTCTCTACCGCGCGATAGTTGGGCGGTCCGTGACGGGCTATGATCTCAAGATTGATCCACTGTTGGTGGCGTACCCCACGTAGCCCCTCATTGTTGGGCTCGGTGGGAGCCTGACCAACGGCTCGCGATACCACAAGCGTTGGCAGATACCGCTGTACATGTGCCACTTTCTGTGGAGGCCCATTCCGCGGACCGATCCTGAAGTGGTGCACGCCGTTCTGGGGCCGATTCTGATACATGTACGCGGCTTATGAGGGAGGGAGGGAGGGGCCTGGTTTCAGGGTGTGGGTGCGTGTCTGCACTTTTATCTGTCGCGCGCAGGCATTGTTGTTTAAAGCACGAAGGTCGAGCTTGCAGTTTGCGGTTTTTTGGTGCCTGCTGTGATGTGTCGACTCTCTTTTGGCGACCTGGTGTCACCGTTCCTCTATGGGTGCTGTATTTTGAACGTAGTAAGGGTCGAGTAGAAAAGCAGAGTGCCTTGACTCTTTTACAGGCGTGCAGTCTCACAGTTTTTTCCCAAAGACCTTTGCGCTGTTGAGTTTTGTGATTCCGAATTCTTGGAGATATCAGTGCCATCACAAACGTCAGCCTTGCTTGGTCTTTGGCTGTTTACGTACAAGCGGTTGCTGCGGCTCCTCTGTTCACATTTGCGTACCATGGTCTCGTTTTTTTCACGTGAAGCGGTTGCTGCCCATCACGCACACGTCCAGTCAGCTCTTGTGTTTTGTGACGTTGTCAGCAGGAGGGATGTCCCGGACCTTGCTGGTGGGTGTTTGGTGGAGGGGGGCGTTTGGAACGCGCGCGTTTGTTCTCGGCTCTCTTGTTTCTTGTTGCGGTCGTGATTGGCGGCAGTACAGTAATCGAACTTCCTTTGCTTATCGTGGTCGGTTTTGAAGGGTTGTTTTTGCCTTGTTGCCACGGATGGTGGCATGGAGCAACACATGCCGCCGCCCCCTGGATTTCCACTGTGTGTGTGCAGTAGATCCTGACTGGTGTTGGACACTATCAGGCGGCGGTGCATAGCGGTACACCTGGGCAATGGGGGGGCATAAACTGAATTATCGTAGTGCAGGGGGCAGGAGAAGTGGGGGGGGTGCCATCGACTTGGAGTCCAAGGTGTCCCGCGTACCGTGTTCCACATACCGTGTTCCACTACCGAACGCGTAGAGGCGTATCCGCAGCTCTCTTTTGTGTTTTCAGGTTGAGGAATTGGTCTCATTTGATATCTCTTGGGGTGGCGTGGAGTATGATGCATGTATGTGATGTCGGAGGTGGCATCGCGCCGTATGAAGTGAGTTTCTGTCGTGGGTCACCGCTGGCACATGGTACAATAGTACAGCGATACCATGAGAATACAAAGCACGCGCATTCGTGCGTCGGGGCTAGCATGCTGTCTAGGCTTCGTTTTAGTGCTAGGTTGTTTGCTGTTTGTAGGTGAGAATGGGGCTTGATAGCGCAATGGCATTGCGTGATGGCCGCTCAAACGCCATCCGTATTTTGTGGGTTGGGTCTCGGCTGTGTGTTGAATGTTTGCTTTTCTATGTTGCGTCGGGCTCCGAAGCTCCATGTGTGTGCTATCGTGTTGCCGCGGAATGATGGCCTGGTGTTCGTGCTATCGTACGATGGTGAGAGAAAAGCGAAGGGAGCTACTACACGTAGCACAAGAAAGTTGCTTTACGGAAAGAAACGTAGGTCCAATGATGGTCTGATGTCTCCTTTGCCCAGAAAAAATTCGTGTAATAGTGCTGAGAGTGGTGCCACAGAGATTGAAAAATGCGGCCCAAGGGCGGAAGACGGACTGGCACGTAGTGTAGGGGGCTGGGTTTACGCGTGGACTGAAACACAAGAGTACTAACATAGACTTGATATTGGTGTTTAAGAATGTTCAAGGTTGATATCCTTCACCATCATTGCTCGTTTTGCATGCACCCCGGGCGAAGGCCAAAGCGTCAACCACATTTGCGTGTGGTACAACAACAGCCGTTGAGCCTGGCGTAGCATCATTTTCTCGTTTTGAGCTCAGAACCAACATTAGGTATTCTGAGGCGCAGGAGCACACCAAACGAAGGTGCTGAACACCGGTGTCAAGTCGCCGGATCGTTTGGTATGACGTTTGGTGATGAGTTGGAAGGGGCGGGGGGGGGGGGCACGTGAATTTCGTCCGCGTGCCGGGGCGCACCACTGCAGGGACAGTCCTTTTGAGTAAAACAATCACCTCGTTACGGCAGCAGTGTCTCGTGTTTCTCGGCTCCTGGCTTGCTTGGCCATTGAATCATGCGCTACTAAATAGCCCACGATCACACCATCTTCAATCTTCAATCTTCAATTGAATTTGCTGTTACTACATCCGTCGCCAAAAGGTTCCTCGAAAAGAGGGCCATTGTACAAACAAGTATCTGCAGCTGGCGGTGCCACCCACCGACGATAGTAAAAACCTTTGTGACATGACCTTCCTGGCCCCTGACAAAAAGGCTCTGTTGCTGAATACAGTTGTGACGACCCACACATACGCCAAGGGTCGCGCCCACACTGCATATTCTTTTGAATCAGATGTTGTCGGTGGTGCGCGTTTGAAGATGATGAAAGTCACGTTTCGAAATACGCCCGTGACCATTCCGATCCACTTCGCAGATCATAGCTTCGCAATCGGCGTAGCGAATGGTCGACTGGCCCAGGTGAACCATCGTCCGATGGAGAAAGCTGGCATCGATTTCATCCAACCCCCTGAATATTAATGTCAGACGAACATGGCACGAGAGAAAAGTTGCCCGCAGTTTTCCTGATGAGCCGTGTTTTGTTTAAAGAACGGAAATTTGCGGTTGGCGTCGCGAAATCCGTGGACTACAAGTAAGTAATGGTAGCAGACGGCGAAGTAGTAGTGACGTGCTGTGGAACGATGAAGATCGATCGGCAGTGATACCGTAGAGGAAGACACTGCAATGATTTAAAGGACATTGTATCTAAACCACATGTATGTGTATGGTTGTTCATGGTTATAGATCGCGCTGGCTGACCCCTCCTAGACTATTCATTTAGCAGTGCCCTCTCGCTGTTGTTGCGAAGCTCACCCCGATATTTCGTCGAAAGCCTTGTCGAGCTTCTCTCGTCCGTACTGCGGCTTCATGAAGGCGGCCATGGCAGCGAAGAACGAGCCAAAGTCTACCTTGCCCGTTTTGTCTGAGTCCATCTTTGAAGTTAATGAGCTCAGTTCTGCCTTGGTGGGCACCTTTGTCAACAGGAATGCGAAGAAATGGGATACAAAACATTACGGAACGGACAATTCGCTGGGGACGATCATCAATCAATGCCTCCTACGGTGGTGATGGACTCAACGGCACCTGCCTACAACTTCGGGGATGATGACACCAAAACCTCTCCGGAACAAAAGAAGTGGGCATCGCCCATGTAGCATCAAGCGCGTCATGTCCAACATGTGCAGACTACGCATGCACACGTTGTGGGTGAGGGCCGGCCTCGATACCATGCACTTGGTGGTGAATTGAGGGACCCGAACGTTTTGTAGATATGCGTATAGAGGGAGGTGGGAACTACTGTACCTATGTTCCCAGGCATACGATCGCGACCACCTACAATGAAAAGCGTCTTCAGGAGGTCCTTCAAGTCTTCGACGTACACCACGTGCTCGTCTTCGTCTGCATGCATGTCGAACGCGATCCTGAGTCGGTCCACCTCTAGCTCGCTGAATAGAAGTTGAGGGCTCTTCTCGCTCGCACGGTCCGTCGTCGTGGCACCGCGTCCAACACGTCATAAAAGTACATACCGATCGAGGAGGACGGCCGAACAATAATTATCGTCGAACGTCGCATGCATCATGTGTATTGTAGTCGATGGGCTACCGTCATGTGGGCAACGCATGAACGCAAGGCATAGTCTATGCTTGATCTACGATAGAGCTATCTGAATTGTACGTCGTCGACAAGTTTTGAAGCGACAGCGCGGCCGGTCGTAGAACGTAGTAGTCGACGGGCCTCGACGCCTCGACTTACTTTGGAATCGTCATCTCCGTCAGCGCCGGCTTCGCGGCTGTCTTTGTTTAACGCGGAGGAGACGGCACGGGCGGCATTCTTGAGCCTGTTGTTGATACGAGCACCTTTGTTGAGCATGATATATTGTCTTTTCCCTCGAGCATGAACCTCCGCACGGCATAGAATGAATACCGAAAAGGGAGTTGTGGGGTGCGCTGCCCATCTATAGTATAGGCTATGTATGCATAGAAGACCAGGCATCGGCATGTAGTCTATGTATTGTAAGTCTCGCCGCTTCTTGGAAGGACGAGAGAGACTTGACATATATATTCTGGTTCGACCGTGTGTGTGTGTGTACATATATTTTCCGAGGTTCGATGGTAAAATATTGAGGGGCGGTCATGTGAACACTCCGCGACCCCCTTGCGACATGGCGTTGATTTTTTCTACGGATAGTCTAGAGTTCTACCGAACCAAGCAGATTTTGTCTACAGAAATGTTGAAGTTGTCTAATTTTGAGTATGGATTGTATTGGGTTGAAAACAAGTTCGTTCATCTCTCTCTCTCTCTCTCTCTCTCTCTCTCTCTCTCTCTCTCTCTCTCTCTCTCTCTCGTCGATTGGCAGTTACACAACGGATGGAGCCCTAAACTATGTACTGTAGACGACACTTTATTACGCGAAAACAAGGGCAAACCGAAAATAATGCAGACTGTATGTAATTAATTTGTCACGGGCATCCCAACACCACGCACTTTCCGTCTATCTCTCCTCCTGACGCTGCTTCGAATCGTGCTGCCAGTTTGACGCCCAGCGTCATTCATCACGCCGGGGGCTCAACACGGAGAAAAAATGGTGGATGATAGTTTTTTCGTCCCATGTGCTCTATCTAGCTCCACTCCAGTCTAAGGTTCCGTTGTATTTTATTTGTGATCGCAACTCGACGAGTGAGTATCGTCGCGTTGCCTGTCTGAAACTTTCCAGTTTTTTAGCGGATAATAATGTCGAGGGCGCACAACGCGACACGCTCGCTCACCGAGCACGACAAAGCTGTACACAGAGTAGATGACATATAGAAGACATCACACCCCTTCAACACTTAACTTGTTAATTTTTCAAACCTCGATTACTCCACAGCACACACACAGCGTGGCCGGACGGCGGCGTTGGAACCGATAGCTTTCCGAAGACAAGCGTATCGCTTGACATCCATCCTCCTCGCTCGTCGTCGTGGACTATCATTATTAGCTGCGATTATTGATGAAGGGGTTGTGATATATATATACCGTCCCCTACTCCAGGTACATGCCATGCATGTTGTGATGCATAAGAATGAGGAGCGCCCTCCTACTCCAGGTAGTTACATAGTTGAATTGAACCTCTCATTACCCATCCATGAAGAAGTAGTTTGTTTCTAAAGCAAAAAGAAGCGTAGACTAGAATATTGCAGGCGACCTCACGCGCACACGAAAAACCGTCAGTCTTCGACCGGCACTTCTCACTTTTCTTGATCCGAGTGGTTTGTACCATAGTTTTTGCTTTGTTTCCCCGCGGCGTCGTACGTGCCGGGTTTTGAGACCACGGGCTCCCCATTTTTGTGAACTATTATTGTCTAGAGCTAATGTGAGAAACAACAACAAACAACAACAACTATTACTATACGCCCATCCATGCGTACGCACTTTTTTTGTGGCGAGCGACTACATGCTTTCTTTCAAGAATCCCGCTAATCATCTCGTTGATGTGTTTCTTCCGTTTAAAACATGTACTGCTGTATGTAGTACGCACGATGGCACCCGAATGAAAAAAAGGAGACAACCAGAACGCGCTCTCCGCAGGCTGGGCAAGAATCCGGGACTAAATGAATGCGAACCCCATGCACTTTCACAATTGGTTTTCTCTCTGGCACGAAAGAGCCGGACGGGAGAGAGGGAAAAAAGCACAGGCGTGATACGCGTTCCCCGTCTGGGCATCTCTCTGCACGATCAGGTCAGAAGCCCGCCAGTCCCCGGGGCTCTATGTTGCACCCGCCCATGGACGCAGCAGTAGTCTAGTGGTAGCGCGTGTCCTGCAGTAGACCACTAGACTACAGCTGAACGTGTTGGAGACCACGAATCATACCGACAGACAGGTGGGTTGCGGGTGGGCGGGGACCCCAAGAAACAGTCAGACACAGCCAGTTACATCCTCACAGTTTATTGCAAAGAAGAACGAAGGGCGAAAACAAAATAGAGACCGCCAGCGACAGGAAACAAAGAAGTAGTAAATGAGAGCAGCCTAAAGAAACAAGTGAAGAAACAACTGAAGACACAAGGCGTTCTTGCCTCTCGGACACACCGGGAGATTTCCGTGTACCGCAGCAAACGGCAGGGCCAGCACCCACTACCTCATATATATGCAGTAGCCGGGTACACGGACTGACTGGTACGTAGTAGGAGTTTAGTCTCTTTCTCGGCAAGAACAATATCGCCCGGGCGAACTTGAACTTGTAGTCATGAGAAGAAAGAACATCATGGTGACGTACCTCAATCTGCTTGCCGTGGGAGATGCGCATCGTTACGCGAGGAAGGCGTTGACTCTTCGCATAGAATATACTGCCGTAGACCCTATCCCTCAAGCTCAACCACAGCTATACCTGATACATCGTAGCATCATATCCAGCGGTAGAAGAATCGAAAAAAAATGTTTTCTTAGTGGCGATGCGGACCCTCTTACCTGTGTAGACTAGAAGCACAACGGACGAACTATTATCTCAATGCGCTTGCCGTCGCGATAGATGCGCACGCTACCGCTGCACGAACGAGCAGACTGTTGCCAAACCTGACAACGATAACCGTACGACCAGTGCACCACATTTCCGAGCATTCCAAGTAGCAACCTCTGCGTACAGCAGCAGCCGCATTTTCCGAACTGTGGAGACTTTCTCTTTTTTTTTGTGATATCAAGTGACAACAAAGAACACGACTAGCCTATGTGTGTAACTGGCACGACGGACGAACCATTACCTCAATGCGCTTGCCGTCGCGATAGATGCGCACTGCTACCGCTACACGAACGAGCAGACTGTTGTCAAACCTGACTACGACAACCTTACGACCATTGCAGCACATTCCGAGCATAAAACAGCAGCAACCGCGGCAGCAGCCGCCGCATGTGCACAACGGTCACTCAAGAACAAACGCAAAAAAAATACATGTGGCGCGCAGCACGCAGGACCCTCTTTCGCTGTTCAACCGGCCGTTTCCATGGCGAAACAGGCAAGGAACGGTCAAGGCCCACTCTTTCCGGCCACAGGAGGCGGAAGCTGCTCAAACTCAGGGACGGCTCATGATTTGCGATTCCACACCGAACCATACTCGAGGTGCCACGAGTTTTGCACTGTAGCTCGAGATCAGCATATTAGACACGGTCGGGCAAGGGGTGGGGGATGCGAATGACAGTTCCACCCACGCACGGATATCGAGCCATGACACTGAAGCTAAAGCTTCTGAACGTTCACGTACCAGCCAGGCTTACATAGACAGCAGATATCCCCACCCTTGTTCTTCCTGCTAAACCTAGAGTAGCAACAAGAGTGTAGGCACAGGTTTTGGTGCTGGAACCTACGTTCAAAATAATATGGAACAGCAGCAACAATAACAACAACAACAACAACGAACGGCAGGGCGAAAAAAACGTTGACGTACAACAACAACACGGAAGCAGATCCCACTGCTTCACTATTTAGGAGCCTGAGTCACAGTTCAGTGCTATGTAGTCAAGGATGTCCACCAACAATATCCTCTTATCCCTAAGAACGACATGCCACAACAAGTAGGGGCAGATCCTCGGCATACTCTGCTTGTTGTCTGCTTTAAAGTGACGAGGGACCGTTGTACCACTCATTACCACCATGATGAATGCACATACTCCGGATTTCTTAGTCTAGACTATACATGAAACGTGGTTGCTCATGCCCACCACTCACGAAGACGCAAGAGATCTCCAGAATCTCTGGCTCTCACGAAGACGCAAGAGATAGCTCTCCGGGATCAACAACGCCGTCCACGAGATCTCTCTCTACCCGTGATAGCTGTCGACAAAAGGTCGCATCTTGACCATTATGCGCTCATCACATAGCATCCATCTGATCGCTTCTCCAAACGTGCGTATGCCCTCTTCGAGAGACCAGAAACTACTCTACAAACATCGCTATTCTCCTGCCCCAGCAAGATCACCGCCAATGGCCAGTCCAGCCACACAGCACACTCCCGGCTCCCCACACACCGCCTCATCCCTTGGCAACCTTCTTGCTCGTTGTTGCCTTGATCTTTGCGACGGTCCCCCCCTTGGTTACGGTCTTCCTCCTCGCTACCGCAGCCCTCTTTTTCCCGGCTGCTAACGCTGTCCGTCTCGACACTACCGTTGCCGGCTTCCCGGCTCTCTTGACGGAAGCGGTCTTTTTGGCGGGGTTAGCGGTCCGCCACCCGGGCCAAAGTACAGCAGCGATCTTGCCAGCGTTCGAGACGGCGGTGGAGGGCGCCTTCGCCGACGTGGAAACCCTAGTCTTCTTCTTCGAGGCGTTGTTTCTCCTAGCGGCGGTGGCGGATTTGCTCGCTCTCACGACTACTGCCTTTCTCCTGGTGACGACGGCCTTTCTCCTGGTGACGACGGTCCTCATCTTCCTCTTGGCGACAGATGATGTTGACGTCTTTCCTCCTGCGGAGCCGAGCTTGTAGGCCTGTGGAAATATTTTTCGGGCCGTCCAGAATCAATGACACTAGACTAATCTACGCACCAGAAGTGGAGCGGAGGGTGCTCGCTCTTAAAGCTGTTTTGAGGAGGAGCCCCGAATCACGGCGGCTATTGAGTTGACACGATTCGGAATGGACACGCACGCGGTAGAATTACCCCCCCGCCCCCCCCGGTGTTTGCCATCAGGGTTGGGTTTTCGTCGCTTGGCAGCAACGTTGTAAAACAAGCCGATCACTTCGTGAGCTCGGCGACCAGGTTACAGCTTTCTGTTTCGCTTTTTTTTTTTGCGGTACCATGAAAAGTGGTCGAGTAGATCATGTTGTGCGGGGTCGAGAACCCTCACTCCGCGCAAAGGGGATAATCGCACCACGTTGTGTTAGAGTTGGTCAAGCGCCCTCGAGGCAGTTAGACAGTGCTTACAACTGTCTCAGGAAGTGAAAGCACCAGAAAACAAATTAAGTCATACGCAGCTGTCATCCGTACGCAAGGAAGTAAGCACAAGATGCCGAA